TTTACTGTGCCTCATGCCCATCATGTCTGTTTATTGACTTGTTTTTTCCTGAACCATTACAGAATTCGTATCCCTTGCCCTAAATACTTGAGTGTGTATTTCCTAAGAACAAGGGCATCCTCTTATACATGGTGCAATTACCAAATTGAGGAAATTTAACACTGTTACAGTACCATTACCGAGTCTCCAGATCTTTGCATGATTGGCCAGTGGTCCACCGATGGCCTTTCTGTCTTTTCTCCCAGGACCCAACACAGGTCATGAATTAGTTGTCGTCGGGCTTCAGTCTCCTCTTTGCTTCAGCAGATTCTTTGTTTTCCAGGTTGATACTTTAGAAGTTTTGTAGACTGTCCCTTAATTTGGATTGGTCAGCTGTTTCTTCATAATTATACGCAGATTATGCATTTTTAGCAAGAATTCCACAGAAGTGATGTGTTCTTTCCAGTGCATGGAACCAGGAGGTACCTAAAGGTCATATTCGATAGGTTTCCCCACTGGGAAATGTACCATTTTCCCTTTGTAATTGATTAGTAGTCTGTGGGCAGGCATGTTGAAGCTGCGTAAATATCCAGCTGCTCCTTAAGTTTTTACCTGATGCTTTTAACATTCGTTGATGATTCTTCCCTGAGTTCATTTTTACTGACGATTGCAAAACTTAAAAAAAAAAAAAAAAAAAAAGTTGTTTTTTTTAAATTGCAAAACTTTTAAAGGCACAGAAAAACTTTCCTTTTCTTTGGTTACTGTACCTCTCATTTATTTGCAATTGTATTGGACATTTGTGATAATTCCCACATGATGGAACCTTTTGAGGCTATATTTAGAAATGTGGTATAACTCGAGCTGTAATGTAAAAGATTCATTGTCAGTCTTTGGCAATGTAGGCTAACAATGAACTAATGAGGTTAGAATTCATAAAAGTGTCCAAATTCAATAAACCAAATTCACTGCCATCAAGTCGATTCTGACTCCTAGCAACCCCCATTGGGTTTCCAAGGCTGCCAATCTTTACGGAAGCAGTCTGCCTCATCTTTCTTCTGAGGAGCAGCTATTGGGTTTGGTTAGCAGCCAAGTGCCTTAACCACTGCGCCACCAGAGCTCCTTCATAAAAATGTGCACAGCCAAAAAAGTGAATTCTACTGGTTGTTAAAGAGCCGTGGTGGCACAGTGGTTAAGCACTTGGCTGCTAACCCAAATGGTCAGTGATTTAAACCCACCAGCCACTCCTCGGAAGAAAGGGGTGTTTCCCGGAAGGGCTGCTCTGAGTCAGATCCACCTGAGGCAAGGGGTTATTCTATGTTAATTTTAAAAAGGAAAATGAGACGCTTGGTTCTTACTTATGGGTTAACTTACAATATAGGTGGTACTTGAGAGTAGTGTCAAGTTTTTGCTTTTTGCTACACTCAGTAGGATTCTCCCATGCTCCCAAACACGAAACACTGCATGTCTTCCTTTCCTTTGATTTACTTTCTTTTTTGATTGGCAGTTTTGGTGGTTTTTTTCTTCTCTATCAGTGGAGTGCCTAAGGCATTTGACTGCTAACCAGAAGGCTGGCGGTTCAAACCCACCAGCTGCTGTGTGGAAGGAAAACTGGGCAATCTACTTCCATAAAGATTTACTGCCTCGGAAACCCAATGGGGATCGCTATGAGTCGGAATCGACTCAGTGGCAGTGGGTTTGGTTTTGGTTTATCATGCCAAAGGTAACTAGGAGGCCATCTAATTTCTGGTGACCCAAACGGCTCTGCTGCCTGGTCCCAGTAGTTAAGGGCCGCTGTGGAAGGGTGGCAGCTGAGCCTTGGCCGCTTGCTCTGAGCTGCACAAACCAGACCTGCTCTTACGTTCTGTCGTGATGTGGCCGTCCAACGTTGACTTGCATCACTGCCCGATGACCTCTTTCCTAGAGGACACTAGAACTAATTGTGCAAGATCCCAGGTTACATTGAACTTGGGGATGGTTGGCATGTGTTTCTGCAAGGAGCTTGCTCAGTATTGTCTGGCCACCATTTGCCTTTGTTCAGGGCTCCAGTGCTTGTCAGATTCAGAAATAGTGGGAAGTCAGCACTTTCAGAATTCTTACTTCATTGAACAGTTTCCCCATGTTCTGGTTCCCTAGTCCCTCTCTGACGAGAATATACCACAAATGCGATGGCTTGAACAAACAGGAGTTTATTCTTACAATCTGGTCAACAAATAACAAGGCACAGTCCCGATGTTACCAAACCACATGGCAGGCCATGAATTCAAGTCCGTTAAAAGTCCCAAGGTCAGCAGAGCATGGCAGGCTGCTGAACAACAACACGGCTACATGCAGGGTCCAAGCGTGCTGTGCCATAAGCTAGAGACCATTCCCCAAGGCTTCTCCTTATATACAGGAAGCAGACCACATCCCTAAGGCAGCTACTCAGCTGCTCCCAGTAGATTCCACCATGGAGTTGATGACCAGTCTCATCATGGAGAATACCACATCCAGCTGCCCAGCCACTCAACCAAACCTGACCAAGTTGACACACAAACTTAACTATCACACCCAAGTCCCCAGTTCATTAGTATTTTTAAGAAAATCTAGTATAGGAAAATAATATGGATAGAGAGTATCTGGTGGTATTACAGTGAAAGGGGGAGATTCCCACGGAGTTTCTTTATGTAGGTCATTTGTCAGGTATGTTGTTGTTGTTGTGTGCTGTTGAGTCATCTGCAGCTCACAATGACCTTAGGTACAACAGAACAAAACACCGCCTGGTTCTGTGCCAGCATCATGATCTCTATTATACCTGAGCCCATCACTGCAGCCACCCTGTCAATCCATCTTGTTGAGGGCCTTCGCCTCTTTAACCGACCCGCCACATTACCAAGCATGACATCCTTCTCCAGAGAATGGTCCCTTCTGACAACACGACGAAAGTAGGTGACACGAAGTCTGGCCATTCTTGCCTCCAAGGAGCATTCCAGCTGCACTGCTTCCAGGACAGACTTGTTAGTTCTTGTAGCAGTCCATGGTACCTTCAGCATTCTTCACCAACACCACAACTCAAAAGCATCAACTCTTCCTTATTCATTGTCCAGCTTTCACATGCATATGAGGCGATTGAAAATACCATGGCTTGGGTTAGGCGCATCTTAGTCTTCAAGGAGATATCTTTGCTCTTCAACTCTTAAAAGAGGTCTTTTGCAACAGACTTGCCTAATGCAATATGTCTTTTGATGTCTTTGACTGTTGCTTCCATTGTCGTTGGTTGTAGAACCAAGTAATATGAAGTTGTGTAATATTAAGTCTTGGCGGTACCTCTTCACTTGCAGAGGACAGTCAGCCAACGGATGAGGCATGTTGGTTGAAATGTTCTTCCTCACCTCAAAGGGCTGAGCCTTTCCTAAGGTTTCTGAATCCAAAACAAGATTTAAAATCTACCTGGAGAAGTGCTGTTCCCACGCCAGTCCCTGTGAAGCCCCTAAAGCAGGGGTCTGTAAAGGGGCAGATGGTACATCCTTCAGGTTTGCAGGGCATGTGGTTTCTGTCACAAGTGCAAAAGCAGCCATGTTGTTGTTGTTGTGTGCTGTCGAGTTGGACCCAATTCATAGCAACCCCTCCTTGGGTTTCCAAGGCAGTATCACTACTGAAGTAGATCGCCCAACCTTCCTTCCAAGGAGTGGCTGGTGGGTGTGAACCACCAGCCTTCTGGTTAGCAGTCAAATGCCTTAGGCACTATGCTACCAGAGCTCCTCAAAGATGATACAGAAAGAAGAGTGTGGCTGGGTTCCAGTCAAATTACGGTTTTACTCTTAAGAAACCACCACTAGAACCAGCCTTTCAAGTGCTGCTGGTGTCAGAGATCTGCTAATCACCAAGGTCTTGTGGTCTTCTTAGGTGTCATGGATTGAATTGTGTCCCTTCAAAATATGTGTCACCTTGGCTAGGCCTGATTCTCAGGGGTTTGGCAGTTAGGTAATGCTGTAGTCATTCCCCATGATGTTATCTGATGTGATCAATCAGTGTAAGAAGATTAGGGTGGGATGCAGCACCCTTAGGTGGTAGCTCTGATCATTTCCCTGGGGTGTGGCCTGCATCGCCTTTATCTTACAAGAGATGAAAGGAGAGAGAAGCCAGCAGAAAGAAGAGCCAGGAGCAGGTCATGTCCTCTGGGCCTAGGGTCCCTGTGCTGAGACCCTCCTAGACCCAGGGGAAGATTGGTGCAGACACATGGAGATCTCCAGGAAGTCAGGACCCACAGATGTTGAAAGAGACAAGGCCTTCCTCCAGAACCAACAGAGGAAGAAAGCCTTGCCCTAGAGCTGATGCTCTGGATGCAGACCTCTGGCCTCCTAAATGGTGACAGAGAAATTCCCGTTTGTTAAAGCCGTCCCCTTGTGGTGTCTCTGTAATAGCACCACCAGAGAACTAAGACACCAGGTTATCAGGTGGTGGTGGTAGGTGCTGTCAAGTCAGATCTGACTCACAGTGGCCCTGTGTACAACAGAGCAAGCACTGCCCAGTCCTGCACCGTCCCTGTAACGGTCACCATGCTTGAGCCCACTGCTGCAGCCACTGTGTCCGTCCACCCCATTGAGGGTCTTCCTCTCTCTCACTGACCCTCTACTTTACCAGCACGATGTCCTTTTCCAGGAGCTGGTCCTTCCTGGGACCGTGACCAAAGCACGAGAGATGAAGCCATGCTGGCTTCTAAGGAGCATTCTGGCTATACTTCTAAGAGATTGGTTCATTCTTCAGGCAGGCCATGGTATATTCAATATTCTTCACCAACCACAACTCAAAGGCATCAATTCTTCGCTCTTCCTTACTCATTGCCCAGCTTTCACATGCATATGAGGCGACTGAAAATACCACGGCTTGGGTCACTTAGTTTTCAAAGGGACATCTTTGCTCTTTAACACTTTAAAGAGATCTTTTGCAGGAGATTTTCCCAGCGCAATATGTCATTTGATTTCTTGACTGCCAGGTTATCAGTCGTCTTCAAATGTCCATCTCAACTCTGGTTACAGGAGCCAATGATGCTGCCCAGACCTGGGGTCTATCACTTCCCATGGGAGGTCAGTGCTGGCCAGGTTCCTGACGGGGGCTCGCTGAGAACATTTGGCAGGTGAGAATAGTGGTTCTCCCATCTGGTGGGGGGACGTTTAAGTGGCTCCCCTGCTCCCCAAAAAATACCCAGTTAAAATTATGAAAAATAAATGCTGAACAATTAATACATATAATACATGTATTGTTTATACAAAGCATGTACAGTCCATGAAGCTGCAAAGGCAGAGTGCAAAATCACCTGTAATTCCACTATCCAATCACTGGTAACCTTGTGGTGATTATCTTTACAGACTTTTCCATGTGTGTGTGTATGTATGTAGGAGCTCTGGTGGCGTAGTGCCTAAGGCACTTGACTGCTGACCAGAAGGTTGCAGTTCAAACCCACCAGCCACTCCTCAGAAGAAAGGTTGGGCAATCTACTTCCATAGTGATACCGCCTCAGCAACCCAAGGAGGGGTCTCTATGAGTCGGGTCTGACTCGATGGCACTTAACAACAACAACAACAACAAATGTATGTATATATGCATATGTGGGTGTGTATATATACATATATACTGTGTTTGTTATCTATTGTGATATAACTAATTACCCCCAAATTAAGTGGCTTGAAATGACAATGAATACTTGCTCTCTCGCAGTTGCTGTGGGTCAGAAATTTAAGGGTGGCTTAGCTGGCTGGTTCTAGGCTTAGGTTCACTCATGAGCTTGTAGTCAAGATGGCGGCTGGGGCTGCCAATGTCTGAAGGCTTTGACTGAGGGTCGGCTCCTGAACAAGGTAGCACCAGCGGTCGGCAAGAGGCCTCTGTTCTTCACAAGGCAGGTTTCTCTGAGGGCCACGGATGGGTCTTTGTAACATGCCAGCTTTTCCCAAAGCAGGTGACCCAAGGGACAGAGCAAAGTAGAAACCCAAATGTCTTTTACGATCTATCCTTGAAATCACCCTCAGTCATTTTCCACAATATCCTGTGGTCACACAGGCCCACCGTAATCAGTGTTGGAGAGATTATGCAAGGATGTGGATACTCAGAGATGAGAATCACTGGGGGCCATCTTAGACACTGGCTGCTACAGATATGTATACACATACAGGGATGTTTTAACCCGTGTTAGATTTTTTGATCTTACTGTCTGGTGTGTAGTGGCTCACACTTGGCGCTAACCAGAAGAGTGGTGGTCTCAACCCACTAGCCATTCTGTGGGAGAAAAATGTAGCAATCTGCTTCCGTAACGATGAAAGCCTTGAAAACCTACGGGGCAGTTCTACTCTGTCCTGTAGGATTGCTACGAGTCAGAATTGACACAACAGCACACATCAACAAGTGTCTTACCATTTTGTACTGTTCATTTTTTTAATATAACTTTAATTCCGTGCTAAATATGGAGGTCTGCATCACCACTTTTAATAGGTGTGTTTCTTTCCTTGTGTAGATATGCCATAGCTTATTTAACCATTCTTTTATTGATTTTTTATTTTAAAAATGTCAGTGTAATTCACTGGGGAAAAAAATAGTCATTTCAATAAATTGTCCTGACACTACTGTATATACTTATGGAGTGGGGGGAAAAAAATCTTTATCCTTACCTCACACCATGCCAAAAATTTTGAACAAGATCACAGATATATGTTTAAAACAAAAAAACCTCTGGAAGAAAACAGGATAAAATCTTCACAAAGATAGGCAAAAATTTGTTAGGTGAGACATAGAAAGTGGTAAGCATGAAAGAGAAATGGATAAGCTGCACTTCAACAAAATTTAAAGTTTCTGAGACATTATTAAGAAAATTAAAAAGCAAGCCACGGAGTAGGAGAAAATACTTGGCTTGTATCTATAACACACAAAGAACTCTTATACCTCAATAATAAGACAAATAATTTAATTTAAAAACAAGCAAAAGATTTGAACATACACCACTAAAGGAAATCTACAGATAACACACTCACAAATATTTGTTCAACATTGTTACTTATTAGGGACATCTACATTAAAATCACAATGGATACCATAACACACCCAGTAAAATGACTAAAATAAAAGAGTGATGGTACCAAGTGTTGGCAAAGATGCAGAGCGTCTGGAACCTTCAGACATCATTGGCAGGAGTGTAAAATGGCACAACTACTTTGAAAAATAATCTGGCGGCTTCTGATGGTTAAATAGGCGGTGACAATATAACCCAGAAATCGTACTCCTAGATATTTACCCAGGAGAAATGAAAACATAATACCCACACAAAGTACGTGAAAGTTCATGAAGTAGCTCAAAGCAAAGGTGAGTGGAGAAACAAATTGTGGTTTATCTGTTCAATGAAGTGCTACTAAACAGTAAAAAGGAATAAACTGCTGATTTACCCAACAACATACTTGAATCTCAAAAATACTTTGTTGACATGGAAACAATTAGTCCAAGAGACTGGTACAGCATGTGATGCTCAGCCTGTACGACTGACTATGAGACCAGAAGAAGTAGAATGAGATGGTGCCCGGCTACCACTGTCAACCACTTGGAAAGGGATCAGTGCAGGAGATCCTGGATAGAGAGGGAGAACAATGTGGAACAAAACTCGAAATCATTAAAAAAAAAAAAAAAGAGGGATCAGGTTTTCTGGTCTGAGATAGGCAAAAATTTCTTAGATAAGAAATTTTGGAACCCCTGAGACTATGGCCGCTAGCTGCCCTTCAGGTCTGGAATTGAACCTACTCCTGTGGCTTCCAGCTGAACAAAGACAGGCATATGAGCTGAACGTTTACATTAGGTAGATACACTTCTTGGAGAGATCAATCATGGGAGAATAGAAGGGCTGTGTATGCAGGGAGGCAGCTTGGGCAGGGGCAGGAGTGCATGGGAGGGATGGACACAGGGAAGAGGTAACCATGGGGAGGAAGTGGGAGGGGAGCTGTCGCATTGTGGGATACTGCAGTCGATGTCATGAGACAAAGTGTATGTGAACTGCTGTATGGAAGATGAATTTGCTCTGTAAACTTTCACCCAAATCATAATAAAATTTAAAAAAAGCTTTGTTGAGTCAAAGAAGCCAGACACAACAGGATGCATGTTATTATGATTCTGTTTATATGAAGTTCATGAGCAGGAAAACTAACTTATAGAGACCAAGAACAGGTCAGCTGTTACCTAGGGTGGCAGACAGGGAGATTGACTTCAGAGGGGCACAGTGGGACTTTCTGGGGTGAAGGAAATCTGTATCTTTTCTATATATGTGTGATTTTTGTGTTGTTGAGAACATACACCAAGTCCACAATTCCAACACGTGTGTGCAGTTCAGCAACATTGATTACGTGTTTCCACTTGCACACATTCTCACCCTCCTTGTCCAAAGTGTCCCTCCCCTATCAATATAAATTCACTGAAGTTTGCTATCTAATCTTTTGAGTTGCTGCTGTCAATTTGATCCCATATTGTTGTTGTTGTTGTTACATGTTGTCAAGTCGGACCCGACTCATAGCGACCCCTCCTGGGTTTCTGAGGCAGTATCACTATGGAAGTAGATTGCCCCATCTGACTTCTGAGGAGTGGCTGGTGGGTTTCAACCGCCAGCCTTCTGGTTAGCAGTCAAGTGCCTTAGGCACTATGATCCCGTGTAGATAGGTCTTAAAAGAGAAGAAATTCTTTACTAGTTAAGCTAAACTATTGTTTGGTTTCAAGAAGTCTTCACAGGGTATTTTTCGTTGAAGATTTAAAGATGATCTCAAGGCAGTAGTTTTAGGGGTTCATTCAACCTCAGTGGCTCCAGAAAGTATAAAGTCCTTGGAATCTAAAATTCTGTTCTGCAATTTTCCCCTTGGATCAAGATTCTCCTATAGAATCTTTGATCAAAATGTTTAGTAATAGTAGCCAGGTACCATCCAGTGCTTTTGTTCTGTTGGCAAAGGAAATCTACTACATCTTTTTTGTATGTGTGTAATTTTTGTGTCGTTTAGAATATATACCAGTTCAACAATTTCTATACGTACAATTCATGGAGGCAATTAGTAATATACTACATCTTGATTGGTGAGAAGGCGCTCTGGTGGCACAGTGATTAAAGCATTCAACTGCTAAGCAAAAGGTTGGCAGTTCAAACCACCCGCTCTTCTGTGAGAAAGATGAGGCTTCCGGAAAGATTTACAGCCTTGGAAACCCTAAGGGGCGGTTCTACTCTGTTCTGTAGGGTTGTTATGGTTCAGAATTGACTCGATGGCAGTGGGTTTTGGTTTTGACTGGAGGTGACACACATCTGTATGTCTGTCAGCACTCGTTGCACTGCACAATGAAAATAGGTACATGCAGATTGCACCTCAGTAACATAGTCTGAAAAAGTATTTCCGGTTTGTTGGTGCAATTTCTATTTCTCTGATCCGAATGAAGCTGGTATTTTCCCAAGACCTTTCGAGCTTTGTGGTGGTTCTGTCTACAGACGGACACTATTGCATTTTCCCTGATTCCCAGGTTGGGCCTCTACGACATGATCCAGTCCAGAGTCACCCTGACGGCTCAGCACGGAGCTGATCAGCACCAGGTCCTGGTCTGTACCAAGCTGGTGGAGCCATTCCAAGCCCAGGTGGGCTCCTTGTACATGGTCCTCGGGGAGCTCGAGCACCAGAAGGGTAAGCCGGTCTTAGATCCCCTTCTCACTCTGGGGCCTGAAGTTGCGGCAGCCTTTCGGGTGACTCCATTGGGAAGGGCTTGACTTACAGTACCTCCCTGGCCCACAATGTGAGTACCTCCCTGGACTCATGGGCAGCAGACATGTACCTCTGAGGGACTCAGTGCAGACCTACCACATGGTGCCGAGTTAAGGAGGGAGCAACAGCGAAGAGATGGTCCGCAGGAGAAGTGAGACAAAAGGGAGAGAAAACAAGCATTTTCGAAGGCCTGCAACGTGCCAGGCCTGGTGCTAGGTGGCTGGCTTGGATCTTCTTGAATCTGCTTAGCAGCCCTGATCCAAGTTTTATTACTGCTGTTTTAGAGTGAAGAGAACCAAAGCTCAGATAGGGTGGGGCTTTTATAGCAGGGGTGAAGGGGGGAGGGATGAGGGGAGGGGGAGGGGTGGTAACAAAACATACACTTAAAATGCCGCGGTTAACATCTTTGTGCGCTAATCTTGGCCCATCTTCTGATTATTAATTTAGGGTAGTTTTCTGAAAGTGCAATTGCTAGATTAAAGGATATTAATATGTTTAAGTTTCTTGATTTACACAACTTGTTTTCTAAAAGTCACAGAGGTTTTTAACTCTGGATGAAATGCGCTGGGGGAAAAAAAGTAATTAAGTAGCACTTACTTTAATTAAATTTTATTTAATAAAAGTTAATCTTTATACAGACTTAAGCCTTTAAGCTCATAGAGTCCCTGCCCTCTTAATTGATTTTGAGAGGAGTTCTGGTGGCATAGTGCCTAATGCGTTTGACTGCTAACCAGAAGGTTGGTGTTTCAAACCCACCAGCAGCATAGTGCCTAAGGCACTTGACTGCTAAC